TTTTTTTTTTTTTTTTTTTTTTTTAGATTCTTAGTAATCTCCTGTCTTTTTTTTTTTTCCCCAAAAAATTTTATTGAGAAACAAATAGCAATGAGACAGTTTCACACCAAATTGGTAGGACAGTTTCAATAATTAACACATTGCATACATTCTTCCTAGTGGTTAATTACTGTACAGATGTGGACAAGATATCCTATTTATAAACACTATTAGAACAAATCTCTCTATTCATTAAGAGAATGTAACTATATATCTATCCTAACCATTTTGAATACACAGATACAAAATGGACATTTATCTGTATCCCTTTTTTTTTTATATACCTCATTTTTATACTTTTCTGCTGGATGGTTAAGACCAAGATAAAGCAAGACCTATATAACAAAAAATATAACTTTTTTATCTGACAAGGTCAGTCATATCCCTTCAGGACTTAGCCTGAAACCTTGTACAGCAGTTTGTAGATCTTTTGTGAGTGTCAGCCATGTGGATGAGTCACAGCCATTGCTTGACCAATTTGCTCTCTGTGAAAGCCTGAGAGGAAAAAAGAAAGCCTGAGAGAAAATGCCATGTGACTCTCCTTAGACACACTCTACATCATCGATGACTTTCCTCTATGGCCCCATAATCTCCTTGATCAGAAAATGTGGGGCACGACTGAGTTACTGAATGTTACAGTACAAGTTCTCTTATGTACTGAGTCCTCACTGACCTTGAAGGACTAGGGCCACAGTGTTGGCTATCTTGGGGCTCAAGGTTTTAAAACAAGATGAGAGCAAGACAGTGTAGAAAAGAGAAGGTCTGGTGAAATATGAGGACTGGAGAATGTAGCGTATAGAATCCAGGTATAGCAGCAGTGTGAAAGAGGGACAGAGTGATCCTGTGGGTCAGATGTTTCTATAGATCAAAAATAAGGAGAGGAAACTGCTTTAGACTCAGCAGTAGGTGCAGTATCTGGAGTCAAGAGAATCATTACTTCATGGATTCAGAGCTATACTCGAAGGCTGAAAAATGTATCAATTTTATTTTTGTTTCCTTTTCTTGATTCAGTAAGAGACCTTATGTTTTCCTCCATTTTATTCTTTCTCTTGAAGCTTATGTAGGAAAACATTCATCTGCTGCCTTATTTCATTCTCATCAGCAGGTGTCCAATCTTTCATTTTGAATAACATGTTAGTGATTACATAAAATGATAGTTTATAAACCATTTTTCCTGACTTTGCTACCACATTCTGCACATTGCTCCATTTTCTGTACGTCTACTCCATACATGTATGTCAGATGCTGAACGTTTTACTGGCTCCTTATCACTGTCACATGCAACTGGTCAGCTATTACCCACTTCACCAACATGAACTTCATGAATTTTGTCTGCAAGATAGATAGCAATTATGAAAGTTGATAAAAGTTTAAAAAGGTGATAGTAAAATATTAATTCACTCAGAAAATACCTAATGAGAGCCCCTGTGGAGCAGTGCCTTAGTGTTGAGGTCAGAGCTGTTGCTTTCAGACAGTTTGTACTCTGGTCTGTAGACCATCTACAGACAGTGAAAGAATTTCAGAAAGTAGTGTTACAAGGCAAGGTAGGGGTATTGCCTGTGGAGAAGGGTTATACTTCCCATGCTATGATCAGGAAAAGCCCCTTTGGACCTTAGTTTTGAGTAGAAATAATGGTGAGAAGGCTCAGACAAAACAATAGCTACTTTCAAAGCTCAAATGCATGCAAAAGGTTGGCAAATTTCTAGAATAGAAAGGTCGCCACGTAAGAAAAGATAGGAATCCAAATGACATCATAGGAAAAAAAAAAAAAAAAAAAAGGATGAGAAGAGACTGGATTTGGCAAATCATGTAAGATATTTGAGAATGAGGTCATGTCAGATTTAATGTAGACAGCCTGAAACCTTTAGAAGACTAGCCACGTACTTTAAAAATTTAGAATGTAAATAATGGCACTGTTTGCTATAATAGAAGTAATACAGAGTTCCCATAAGCAAGATACTCTGGTGGTCTGGAAAGTTGCAGTAGAAGTGGTGGACAGGAGCAGAGTTGAGGACTGGATGGTTACCAAGGAGCCATTAATAATTTCTAGGGTTTTAGCATGACCTCCTGACAAGCTAGTGGTGCTGGTAACTGAGATAGACTCAAGGTAAGAGTGCAAGCCCAGGGTTAAGAGAATACTTGCTAAGCTTTGAGTTTGAAGATCTGTGTGAAGAGTGAAAGAAGGCAGTTGAATTTATAACATGCAAATCTGAAATTCAGAGAGACTGACCCAAAAGTAGTTTTAAAAAACACTGAGGAGTGGCTTGGGATATAAAGAGCTTATGTAGAATGCATGGAGCCCTGGGATCTCTAGTACACAAAAAACTAAAATGCAATAAAAATGAAAATGTACACCTAGGTTAAAAATGTATTACATACATCTAGGGACAGCCAAATCTCAGAACTCCTGTTTTAATCTTCAGTTCACCAGGACACATTTTAGGTGTTGTTTTTTAAGATTTTATACTGTTAGCAACTAGATTTCTCAGAAAATTAAATGATTTCTGTTTCATGAGCTAAAAAAAAAAAATCACCCAAGATTTATAGAATGTCCATCATGTTTAATTATTTGTCCTGATCTTCTTCTAGATGAAGATGAGGATGAAGATGATGAGGAAGATTTTGAGGATGACGATGAATGGGAAGACTGATCTATATAGTATATATATATATATATATATATATACATATATATATATATTTTTAAGGTGAAATACTAAACACTACTTTCTGTCTATGGATTCTGTAAAATTACCATGTAAATGTTCTGCCAATTTGCTGTATATTTTTGTTGCCTTTTTGCTTTTTTTAATTAATCTGTGCAATACCTCATTTAATCTGTAAAGGTTTGTCATAACACTACAAGCGACTCCCTGTGACTGTACGCACGTTTACACCGGATGCTCACTTGATTGTGAATATATTTCATTCCATCAACAAGGGAGTTTCATTATTACGTGTGAGACTGACAGAAACCTTAATGTAATTTAGTTATAATGCCAGAAGGAAAACACTATTTTCATACCCTACTTTTTCTGTACTTAAATTTTCTTATTGAAATCTAGTATAGCACTACATTCTTTTTTAAGTGATGTAAACCTTAGTTTCTTCAGCCCCTTCATTTTGAATACAATGCTACATACGAATGTTGAAGCTGATAAGTTGCACAGTTCCTTAGACACTACTACACTTGATACAGTTTTCAGAGTTTAGCAATATGCTTTTCATAGAATCACTGCAGAGCTACTAATGAGGAAAGTCAGTAACACACCTCTTCTAGTAAAATTACCTGTTCCCAGTACAGCAGTGGTATTTGCAGGCTGGAATCACAAGGAACCCTTACACACTCGGGCTCAACAGAGGTTGTTTTTATATGTTGTAGCAAATGTGGCAGGCTCTTTAAAGCAAAAATTTAAGAAAGTATACTTTGGCATTAATCTGAAAAATCATTCAAGTGGAGGTTTGGGGATTTTATTCTTCATGAACAACTCTAATACTTCCTTTAAAATACTATTTAAATCAGAACATTATTTAAATAATGTGGAATTTTTATGTTTTAGTTTGTGTGAACCATAAAAATCAAATTACTGTCAGAATTATGCACTGAAATGCTGAATCTATTATGTTGTCCCTCTTTATTTTGGCAGTTTAAGGTTTTTATCAAAGATCAGGTGAAGGGTTATGTTTAAAAAAAAAAAAAAAAAGATTGGTGGTCCAGTGTCACATTTCTTGAACATTTAACTGATTTGATAGATATTTTTTGTTTGTCTAATAAAACTTTGCAACCTGCACATTTGTTACGCATACTAAATGGCTTGTTAAGTTAGGGTTTCCTTGCCTCTACACTACACTAATCTGCCTAAAGGGGTTTATTTCATATTTATAGTGCTGATTATCATGCCTACCTACATTAAATTTTAGGTAAAAAATTTGATTTAAATACATATTTTCTCACATTGAGTCATGCAGAATGTAGTTCCAAATGTATTTCATTACTATAGTTACAGTAGCCAACTAAAAATTATGCTATCTAGAACTGTTCTGACCAAAATCTGGTATTAGCTTGATCTTGACAGGCTGGACCTGCAAGATGTGGCTTGAATTTTATCCAGTTTATTATCACTTACTCTCTAGTGATCATTCATCTAGATATCATGAAGATAATTTAAAAGGTTTAGTTGCTGAAAGCAGTAAGTGGTGCAGTAAAATAGTTAAGTTATTCAAAGAATGTTACCTTCCTGCAAGAGTAATGTAGGCACATGGGAAAGATTCTGGACTTTTGTTTATTGTAAAAACAGGGCCCTTTGCTGCTAGAAACCTTTTCCTGCTTATTATCATTTTAATTGTGGCTTAAGCTCACTGAGTTTGGTGTGGATGAGACTGGACAGACTGACCAATAAAATTAAGAATTTGTGCAAATGGTAAGTAGAACAATATGTTTATAGTAAGTAATAATATAAAGCATTTTTATCTTGGCATTATAAATTTTCTAGAAATGTCTTTGAGGTAATACCAATTTAAGATGTCTCCAGTTTTGGCCAAATAATTGAGGGTTTTCAGCTAATTTTCTTAGGTATGTATTAGAAGCTTCTCTGAGTAGAGGACATCAATTCTTTGAGTTAGGAGCACAGCATAGAAGATGGATAGACAGTTTACCTAGATAATTGACTATTCTTTTTTCTTAAAAAGAAATACTCTGTTATTATTGCACAAAGTCTAAATTATTATTCATTGGAACACAGCTATGAATTCAGTCCAGGCATGAAGATGGAGTCTGCTTCACTAAGTAAGATGCAGGGTTGCATGTTTCAGTCCTCCACCGTCTTGCACTGTGGGCAGCTTCTGTGTACTCCAGCTAAGTAATTGTCTGGTCGCCTTTGCCTTTACCAAACTAGCATGAGGCTTTTTATATCTAAATACTCTGTGATAGACAATTTCAGCTAGCCACATATTGTATGTATGAGATTCATAAAGATCTTCTTCAATCATTCGTTTCCATTTATCAACTGAAATTCTGTTCAGTATGTGAAATTTTTTTTTTTAAATGTATAGTGAATAGGATGTTGCACTGGTGGCAATTCATCATGGAATATAATAAAATTAATTTGACCCAAATAGTAGAAAATAGTGTGTTTTTATTTATTAAGAGAATAAAATAAGAAAAAATATAAAGAACTGTTTAGTTAAAGGTACACAGTGAGGAATGATAATGGTGGTTGTGTTCTGTGGCATGCCTACCCTAAGAGTTAGGCTGTGCCATTAAATAAGCACAGTAAGCAAAAGAATATTAGGCCAGTCAAAAACGGTGCTCGCTTTAGACAGTAAACTCAGTTTTTGATAAAGAGATTTTCTGTTGCACTGACCCTGGCACAAGTGAGTGTCTGAAGATTTCAGTGTAGGAGATGCTATAGAATTCCTTTTAAGAAACATTCCCCAAATAGCATGTTCTATGAAAAAGTTCTTTTCTCTTGTACAAATGTGATCACTTAAGAATGTATTTAACTTTTGGGTGAATTGTTTAAAGAGATATATATCTCATAATTGTCATCACATGATATTTATCTAATCAGGGGAAGAGATTCCTGCTTTAGGAATGGACTTCCTAAAGGACAACTATGAAGATAAGGACTATTTGTAGTATAGTAGAAAATCCTTTGTAGAAAGGTTTGCAAATTTTACTTTGCACTTTTATTTCATTGGCACTCACTTGCACATTTTGCCTCTAAAGCACTGAGTTCTCTAACTCTCGTCCATGTACTGTGTGTGTGCGTGCGTGTGTAAACCACTAGAACAAGTGGTGCTAAAGTGATTGTTTGAACATGATAGAGAGTGTATGTTGTTAACATTAGTTACAACTAATGCTAAGACCTCTTTATATCTGTGTGTGACATAATGCCCTCCATTTCCATGAGAAGCATATTGAAAAGTGTATCTTTACAAAAACATCTGCCATAAATGGTTGGATGGGTAGGTGGGCGGACGGACAGATGGATGGAAAGAGATGATTGTACTAACTATACATTACTATTTTTTAGCTAGATTTCATGAATCATGTCATGCCATTATTTTGAGTAAAGTATAACAACCATTTATCAGTGGTTCTCATGAACCTTTGAGGGACATTCAACCTCCAGTCTTGCAGCTGGCTCATGGACAAATGGTTCAACAGACTTCCAAGCCCATATAAAATCACAATGATCACAATGTCTGCTTTAGCAGGTTATTGGAAATGACAGACTCTTCAGTGTTATCTTAGTGTACATACACACACACACACACACACACACACACACACATACATATACCATGAAACCATCCTAACCTTAGAAATTAAAAACAACTTGTCAAGTATAAGGACGACCTAGTGTACAAGTTCTGTTCCAACTCCGCTAAGATTACAAAATAGCTTTTTAGCAGTCATGATCCTTAGGTAATTTACATGACTGCATTTGACAACTCAAATCTTTGTTTAAAAAAAAAAATAGGATAAAGAAAAGTTTTACATATATAATCATTACCTGAAGACTGGCAGTGGGTTCAGTGGTGAAAATACAGGTAAATGGGAAGTCCTGGGGGTTGTAGGCTGCTGTAAATACAGCAGGGTTTAAGTGACTGAAGAAATACAGGAAATACAGCCATCCTGGGTCCCTTGGGGACTGGTTTCAGAACCCCTTGTGGATATCAAGATCTGTGGATATTAAGCCCCTTACATTAAACATTGCCATATTTCTGTATAACCTTGCACATCCTCCCATGTACTTTATCTCTAAGATTACTGTCAGGTTACTGTTGTCCTTGCTGAGACAAATTACCCAACACACAAAGATGAAGGAGGAACGGTTCATTCTGGTTCACTGTAGAAGTTTTGGTCTATAATTGGCTGGCTCCAGGGCAGCATGGCAGAGGAGACAGTCCATGGCAACGCAGGGCAGCAAAGCAACTTTTTTCTGTCCCTTACATTCCACCCAGGGGACCCACCCTTTGGGCAAGCAGCACTGCCCCCAGCCGAGGTACTCTTCATCTTAGCATCTCATTCTTAATCCCAGTAACTCAGCTCAAGATCCAGCTACTTCTGAAAAGCCCCATCTGTGACCTTAAGAGGCTTTGGGGGACATCTAGATAACAAGCCATAGCAATTATACCTGATGAAAACTATTAGGGCAAATGGCAGGATGAAAAGTCTCTTCAGGAAAGGAGCACTTTTTTCCAAAGTATTTTTAGTATCATTAGTTGAATCCACGGAGGTAGAAACGGGCATGTTGATTTGTTTCATCAAGCTGTGCTGGCTTGTTGACGGCTCGTCTTCGAATCATCAGGCATGGTATTTTGGACAAATCCAAATATCAGTTTTCCACATGCTGTTAGAGAAATGCAGGTGCAGGTTGCATTTTAGCCTGTTTTCTTCTAGAACAAGTGGCCTAAATAAATATGTTCCTTCTCAAGAATATTGACTTACCAGAACTCTTTTGCCTGTCTTCTGAAGAACTGGGAAAAAAACGCTATGTGAAGGTCAAAACTTAAAAAAACTTATTTTTCCCATGTTAGGTTTCAAGACCTAAATTCCCAAAGGCAAGTTTTCACATCAGTTTCTCAAGAGATAGAAACCAGTGCACAGTACTGAACAGGAAACTGGAAAAAACAGTGCTTCAATCTGGAAGTGCATCCGGTCTCTAATTACTGCTTCTCTTAACCTTCGCTTCCTTAACTCTCCAGCTTTACTTTTTCCCCAAAGATGGTGACAGTGACTATTCTTACTACTTACAGAAATTATCCAGTACAATTGTCATGTTTCATTGTTCTCCTTACTCCACTCATCACAGAAATGCACGCTTTCCCGGCACATAAGGCATAGATTTATCTTTGCATGTGTGACTTTTAGGGCCTGGGTAGAAATAGTGGGATTTCCATGTACTTCTTGTAAATAATAATGAAAACACCAGCTATTGGTCCTGCTTTGTGGGAGCAGTATATTTACCAGTCCTTGAAAGTGCTTTTCTAGAGAACCTATTTGATTTACACCTTCCAGTGTAGGTGGCTCTCCGACTCTCAGGTCATACCTGCTGACACTGTCAGCAGATGAGCTATAGTGTGGACTCACCCTATTCCAGTCTGGACTCTTGCTTTATGATAGTGAGAAAGTTTTTATGGCAGTTTCCAGAAGTCTCCAGGGTTGTGGTAATCTCACTCCCAGATTTTTCATCACAGATCTTTCTCCTTCCGGGAGAATCAGATTGATCACTAGGCCTAGCCTTTGGGAGGCTGAGGCAGTCAGATCACTTTGAGTTTGAGGCCAGCCTGGACTACAGTAATTCATTCAAGGCCAGCCTGATCTACATAGTGAGACCCTGCCTCAATAAATTAGCATTCTTTGTAATACTAAGCAGTATTTATTGAGACAGTTACTAAGTATTGGGCACTGCATTAAATGCTTTATGAACAAAATACGTTCTTCAGCTAACACATTAACTTTGAGAGTTTAAACAATTTATACTACGTTAAATAGCTAGGAATTGTCAGAGCTGGCTCTCAAACTTAAGACTGTCTTAATATAAGTCCTTCAGCTCAGCACATTAAACCACCTGCTTAGGCAGACACGGGCCAGGGGTTCCATCCTGTGCCTGCGTAGTGGGCCCCACTCCTGGGGTGTGCTGAGACTGAAGCTGGGCATGGTGGCACCCACCTGTAATCCCAGCACTTGGGAGGCTGAAAAACTACTAGTCCAATCTGTGTAGTAAGACCCAGTAGACCCTGCTACATATATTTTATATATATCCATCCTTCAACATTACACTGTCCTGCCTAGCCTAGCAGGTTATATTAGACAGCACAGATAGCCTTGGTAAGAAATAAAACTGTTACACCAGTATCTTTACTCCAAATGTAGGCTTGGGGATTTTCTGCTTATTTACCTACAAAATTCCAAAAAGGTATGCTATTGTGCTCTTATTTTCAAAAGAAAACTTCAACAGAAAGGAAAATACATAATAATCACGCAGTCAAACCAGCAGCCACTAAACCAAGTCCAAGCAAATTTTGAGATTAGGACGACAAAAAAAAAAGGTTAGGACAACCCCAGATTTTTGGATTGTGTGAATAGAATGTTTTTTTAAATGTAATTTTTCTTTGGTTTTTCTCATCCCTGATTCCCTTCCCATATTCCATCACCATTATTATTTTTTTTTTTCCATTTGGAGTATCAGATGTGACACGCTTGAGTACTCCCATGTTAGGGTTTGCATCTAGACGTCCCCCGGCGGCTCATGCAGCTTGAGATGGGCCTTTTTTTGGCGGTGGCTGAACCTAGAGTTTGGGACTGAGTCATAGTGCAGTGCAGGGATTAAGGGTAGTACGGTTAAATCTGGGTCAGTGCACTGATTGGGTTGGCACCACCCAACCCCAAAAGTCTAGATGAGATACAAGGGACTGAAGAAGGCTTGTTTCACACTCTGGCTCCTGCTGTTTCTGCTTTCTCTGTGCTGTGAATGTTGCCGCTCTGCCATGTGCTACCCTGCCTTATGGGCCGAGTCCTCTGAGCTGAACAAACCTTTTCTCCCTTAACCTGGGTTGCTTAGTATTTTGGCTCAGCAATGAAAGAAAAATAACTAAGGCATCCCAAATGCTTAATAAATGATTCCACAAGAATTCATTTAGAATTTCCTCTGTCTTCTTGATGAATTTAGTTTCTACC